AAATATTAAAATCGAGGAATCGCCGAGGAGATTCCAAAAAAAAAAAAAATAAACAAGTTATCATTTTAAGATTGGACCTCCATCTTTTGTTTGAAGTATTGTATTTAAAAAAACTGATGTGGTTGCTATTTTACTAATTCTACTAAACGGATAAGGGAAAAATCAAATCAAAATCAAATATAAGTAAAAGAAAATCTAAAAAATTGACTCTTTTTCACTTTTTGTTTTTGTAAAATTATCAAAATATCTCTTTAGAAAATTAACTATTTAATATTTTATGATGTGATTTGAATTTTTGTTTTAAATAGCTATTTTTCTTATTAGATTCATAATTGATTTTTTAAGTTTAAAAATAATATTTTTTTAGATTTGTAATTGATTATTCAAATAAAAAGTTAAGATTTTTTTCATATAGAAATTTGTAAAGAGATTGATGGAGGGAATAAAGATCGGGAAGAAATTTATTTTTTTGTACCATAAAAAATATTAGTCACGAATAAGAGATTTTAGGAAGAGGGTAAAAAGTAGAAATTGAATTAAGAGAAAGGGGGAAAAATCCCAATTTTGCTTGGAGGATCATCCTATTCCTTGAAGAGGAAGAGAGACATCACGCAGTCTTTCCGGTTTCCATGCACACGCACTAGCAACGAGTCACAGGTCACGAGTCACGACCTTCTCTGTGTGTATTCTGCAGTGGCAGAGCGCCAAAAACTTGCTCCTTCTTCTGCTGCAATCAACCTTAAATCCGTAAGCCTTATTGTGGCATTCCAGTAGTGTTGCTGATTTTTCGTTTTGCTACATGGGTACATAGTACGAGCTTCATTTGTGTATGTATTTGTCTGCAGGCTGCAAAATGGGCCCTAAAGAGCACATTGAAGAAATCAGGAGAAGCAAGTTTTCTATCGGAGGAGTACCCAACCCCTTGACCCAGGATTTCCACCATGCTGTCAGCAACCTTTCTGCGGAGCTTTACACCAAGGACGTTCACTTTCTAATGGAACTTATTCAGGTATAATACCATACCATACCATACCACCATTTTCCCCTCAACTCTCAACTCTGATCAACACGCAGAATGCTGAAGATAACGACTATTCCACCTCTGTCAAACCCTCCTTCGAGTTCATTGTAACGTCTCGAGACGTCACCCAAACTGGAGCTCCTACCACACTACTTATTTTCAACAACGAGACTGGCTTTTCTTCAAGCAACATTGATTCTATTTGCAGCGTKGGCCGCTCCACCAAAAACAACAAGAGGAAGCGCGGTTATATTGGGGAGAAAGGTTTTCTTTCCTTTCCTTTCCATTCCATTCCATCTATTTTCTTTTTTTTTACTCGCATCATCTAATTGGATTTATTCTCAATCTCAAATCTGCAGGAATTGGATTCAAAAGTGTTTTTTTAATTACTTCTCAGCCTTACATATTCAGTAACGGATATCAGATACGCTTCAACGAACAACCTTGCCCACATTGTGGCGTTGGATACGTTGTTCCTGAGTGGGTTGAAGAGAATCCAGTTCTTTCCAACATCAAGAAAATTTACGGTCAGCATTCTAAACTGCCAGCAACCACAATAGTTTTGCCGTTGAAGCCTGACAAGATCAAACCTGTGAAGCAGCAGCTTTCTAGCATTCAACCGGAAGTTCTATTGTTCCTTTCAAAGATTAAGCAGCTTTCCTATAGGGAAGCCAGTGAGGATCCTAAGTCCAACGCTGTAAGTGCCATTGCTATTTTCACGGAGACAAACTTCATTACAAGGAAGAACGTCGATGCTGAATCCTACACTCTCCATCTCTCTTCCGAGGAAAATGACTCCGGAATCGATGACCAATTATCCTACTACATGTGGAAGCAGAGGTTTCCAGTCAAGGAAGAAAACAGAGTGGAACGGAGGATGGGAGTGGAGGAATTGGTGATAACATTGGCATTTCCAAATGGAGAGCCTCTCGATAGTGGAGTAAAGTCACCTGGGGTCTACGCTTTCCTTCCCACCGAGATGGTAACCAACTTTCCCTTTATAATTCAGGCAGATTTTGTTTTATCATCATCCAGGGAAACCATTCTCCTTGATAACAAATGGAATCAGGGGATTCTTGACTGTGTTCCCTCTGCTTTTGTCAATGCTTTCGTCTCATTGGTGAAAACATCAGATGAGGCTCCCTTGCCTTCTTTGGCCCGTATGTTCAACTTCTTACCCATCATTCCTTCTTCCTATGAGAAGTTGAATGTTGTGAGGGATTTAATAAAAAAAAGGTTGCTTGAAGAAAATATCATTCCTAGTCATTCATTCTTGAAGCAGAGGTTCTTCCACAAACCTCCTGAAGTGGGTAGAATTATGCCGGCCTTTTGGAATATATTAACGAAGGCACACAAGCAAGGGGTGAGTTTGCTTAATCTATCGTCCCATGGAAAGTACATTTTAAGTTCGTCATTCGATATAAAGGAATACGATCAGGTTCTTAGTTTCCTTGGTGTGAAGCCAGTGGACGATGAATGGTATGCAAAATGCCTGCAGGGTACTAACATCGTGGAGGCTGTGTYGGATGATGTTTATTTGGAGCTTCTACAATTTCTTGCAGACAACTGGAGTTCAAGATTTCATGTTACAAACATGAAGAACGTACCACTTGTACGATATGTTGGTCTTGATGGGAATGTTTTCCGATGTAGTTTAAATGAATGTCGTGCAAGAAAGGTGCACCTTGCGCATCATGATCATCTACCATGGCTGAATAAATTGAATAGGGAGTTCAGATTTGTTGCCAAGTGTTTCTTTATGCCAGAAAGCACGCAGAAATCCATCCGGTCATTTCCTAAGAAAGACACGTTGTTGCAATGGCTTCGAGACCAGGTTAAAGTTGATGCCATCGGCGTATTTCAATTTGGAAAACTCCTTGTCGAGTCTCTTGGCTATAACCCAAAGCACATAATTACCTATGTTCACTTCCTATATCATTCATTATCGAAAAATTATCTGACAAATGTTGAGGTCAAGTCTCTGTGCAGTGTTAATGTTATGCCAGTAGTAGACAGATATGGCGCTGTCATCAGACAGAGACCGAGACTTCTCATCCCAGCGGATGGTAGTAAATGGGCAGAATTGTTTGATTCAAATCCCTGGCAAAATTATGGCTATGTTGAGTTGGGAGCAGATTACATCAGCCCGGCCTATTTTGCCGGTGAAACTATGACTAGAACACAGCTCATAGATTTTCTCAGAACACATATTGGTGCTTTGGATATCCCTTTTTTGTCTCCCCCCAACACAGAAATTTCTGTTGTTTCTTCACCACTTACTGTGCAGAATGTGCTTTTGCTATTAGATTGGATTCGCAGCTTGAAAACTAGAGAATTTCCCATTCCTTGCAAATTTTTGAAATGCATAAAGGAAGGTTGCTGGCTAAGAGTTACTCTGAATGGATCTCCTGGTTATAGGCCACCATCGCAGTCTTTTGACCTCTCCTCATTGTGTGCAAGTATTCTGCAAAATGGACCAACTCCTGTGGAAATCCCACTGATTGATCACAAATTCTATGCTGGCGGGTTAAAGGGCTATGAAGAGGAGCTGAAAACTATTGGCGTCATGTTTGAAAATGTTGAAGTATTACAATTTATTGGGAACCACCTCATGTCAGTGGCGAGTTTATTAAGTTTAACAAGAGAAAACGTCATCTCCATATTAAAATTCATCCGGTTTTTGAAAAATCAGTTTTGTGTTGAAAGCTTTATTGCTAGCATAAGAAAAGGAACATGGCTTAAGACACGTCATGGTTACACCACACCAGATGGATCGGTGTTGTACAATAAGGAGTGGAGGACAGCTTCACTTATTAGCAACATCCCTTTTATTGACGAGGATTACTATGGTGATGAGATTCTTTCATTCCGGGAGGAACTTAAGTTGCTTGGTGTGGTGGTTGACTTCCAGGAAGTTTCCCAACTTGTCGTGGACAATTTGAAGCCACCTTCTCAGTTAACTTGTCTGAGAGCCGAGCCATTTCAGTTGATTCTTCACTATATATTAAGATCAAGGTCAGCCGATTTTTTTGTTAACACATTCAAAGGTGTGAAATGCGTCAAAACAAATCTAGGCTACAAACCTCCTGGTGAATGTTACTTGTCAGACCCTTCTTGGGTTTCCATTCTGCAGGTTTTTAGTGATTTCCCTCTAGTTGATTGTGATTTCTATGGGAGTTGCATCTTATCTTACAAGAGGGAACTGAGAAAAATGGGAGTGGTGGTCGATTTTGAGGAAGCAATCAAAGCATTTTGTCAAGAGTTCAGGCAACGAGTAGCTACAAGTTCTCTAACAAAGGACAGTGCGATATTGCTTCTGTCAAGCTACAAACAGTCGAAAGCGCCCAAAGAATTTCCTTCGGRTCTTAAGAAGTGCATTCATGAGTTGAAGTGGTTGTGGACTCGACTCGGTGATCATAGATCTCCTAAAAATTGCATATTGTATGGTCCAAGTTGGGAATCTATATCTGCAATTGCTCTCCTTCCTTTTATCGATGATAGTACAAACTCCTATGGAAACCACATTCATGAATACAAAGAAGAGTTGAAGAATATGGGAGTTGTTACTGACTTTGCAGATGGTGCTCATATGGTTGCTGCTGGGCTTTGTCTCCCACAAAATCCTGTTAACATTACTTCTGAAAATGTGCTTTCACTTTTAGGCTGCATCCGGACTTTAATGGAGAAGAATTATTCCTTTTCAAATGATTTCTCCAGAAAGGTCTCGCAGAGATGGTTGAAGACTTCTTTCGGTTATAGGGCTCCGGAGGAGAGTTTGCTCTTCATTCCTGAATTGGAATCTTTTCTGAAACCTACTGATGGGCCTTTTATTGATGAAGAATTTTACACGTTTGACATTAAGTTGTATAAAAATGAGCTCAAAGAGATAGGGGTGATAGTTGATTTGGACCATGGATGTCAATTAATGTCAAGTTTCCTTGATTTTCATAGCGACTTCTCCACAATAATACGAATCTATACTTATTTGAGTACATTCAATTGGGAGCCAGACACCGAAGTTGCTAAAAGGATTTGGTCACCTTATGGAAATAATAATGGACAGTGGATCAACCCAAAAGAGTGTGTACTTTTTGACAAGGAAGACCTGTTTGGTTTGCACTTGACAGTTCTAGAGAGGTACTATAAACAAGATTTACTCAATTTCTTTTCCAAAGCCTTTAAAGTAAGGTCCAATCCTTCAATTGACGATTACTGCAAACTCTGGAAAGGTTGGGAAAGTAATCAAGATCAACTATCTCATGACGAGTGCTTTAAGTTTTGGAAATATGCTACTAAGCATTGTAATTCAAAAACTGAGCGAGCTTTCACTGATGCCATTACCAAAGTACCGGCAATTTCTGGCTCAGATGGAGTTCTTTTATTTGATAAACACGACATATTTATTCCCGACGATCTTCAATTGAAGGATTTATTTGAACGAATGTATCCTCATCCGCTTTTTGTATGGTATCCTCAACAAAGCTCACCTTCCCTGCCTCAAGCAAGGTTGTTGGAAGTTTATAAGAACATAGGGGTTCAGAATATTTCTGAGTCTGTTCAGAGGGTCGAGGCAGCCATGGTTGGTGGAATCACACTCAAGCAAGTGAATCCAAATGACATTTCAATTGGAAGAGGACTGGTGCAACTCATTCTTGGTTTTTTAGCTGATCCCGTTAAGAAAATTGAAGCTACGAAGAGGCACGAAGCTGTTCAATGTCTCCTCAATATTTCTGTCCTTGAGACTGCAGAGCCTGTAATGATAAACTATAGTTTATCCCTGACTTCTGGGGAGGTCATCAATGCTAGTGCAAGCCGATTGATACGTTGGGAGCGGAAGAGTTCAAAGTTCTTCACCCAGAAAATGGTAGGTGGATATAAGGGGATGATAGAGTATGCTACCTTCTTTTCTGAGGTCATATCTGAAGGTGTCCTTTGGGAGTATAGTGATTATATATGTGCATTATCTGAGCTGATCAAGTTGGCCTTTGTGCTGAATTTTGATGATGAAGCTGTTAATTTCATAATGAAATCCAAGAATCTGGCAATCTTCAAGGAGGATGAGGATTTCCTCTCTTCTGCGTTCAGTGAGCAATCCAAGTAGATTTATTTTTAATTTTGCTAGTTCATGAAAAAAGTGCACATGGATCATCTGCTGCTATTTGCATATTTTGATGCTCTTTTGCCAGTATTTATTCACTTGTATTTTGATGTAAATTTTTGTGAATCTGTGATATATTTATGCAGAATAGTGGAATGCAAATTTTGATACTTTGGGATGCAATAATGAAATATTATTAACTATGACTTTAGTGGCGCGGATCTGTCAATATCTCTGATTTTGTTATTGAATAAGGCTTGGTGTATAGTTAAAAAGACATGCACATTGGCTACTAGAACAATGTTAAAGAGATGATTGCTGAATAACCAGCCTTTTAAATGAATACATTCATATTGCACTATAAAGTACAGATTCTACCTTTATCGGGTCTTTGGTTATATTGGAGAGAATCTTTCAACATTCGACGACACCCTTTTCTTAAGCTGTCATGCCTTGGCGACTGTATTTCGCGTATCACAACTTCTCCTGTGAGACATCGTCTTTATTCTGTTCATCTTACATTAATGCAATCAAATAGGAGAGTTGACATATGATATGATGTGATTTACCTTCAACATGTTGTCATTGCTATGCATTCTGAAATTGTTGTAAAATGTTTAAAGTCATACCATCAAGAAGTTTGTAGATCCTTGTGTCTTGTTGGCTAGTTTGAGCTCCAGTAGGCATTACGTATTTTATAAATGAAGTTGTGCTGAAGCATTGGATCAGTTTGGTTGGTATTTCTATTTGTATTATGTTTTCCAAGGCACCCTAATGTCAGTAGTCGAACATCGGCATTTTTGAAGGATCAGTGGAGACAGCCCTGCTTTCTGCTCCTCAAGATGTTGTCGTGGTTCAACGGCAACATGCTTCAAATACTGGTATGCGGTTGAGTTTTAGTTCATCCACTTATTTAAACTACTTACTAATTAAATCTAATATGGTATAATTTATAATTTTATTAATAATTAAAATTAGTTTTTATTTCACAAAGTTTTTAATCTTTTATATTAACATATATCTTATTTGTTATTAAAAAATCATAGTTATATTTTAAAGTTAAAAATATATTTTAAAAATTTGAATGAAAATAAAAATTATYATATTAGAGTTGTGGTTGCTCAATTTTCTTTAAACTTTAGAATAAAATTCACTTTTAATCCTTGATATTTGAACTTGAGGTTTAAAGGGTGTTTAGAAGGGATACTAATTGGTCTAGGGAGTGTTTAAAAGACATTGAGATTTTTTTTTTTTAAATTTTAAAAACCAAATACATCTAGATTGTTCTTTATTTAATGTAAAAAAAAAAAAAAGATATTTCAAGATTTGTATTTCTTAAGCTTTACAATTGCACTTTTTTTTAATAGTTGTACAGGTAGGGCTGCGGCTCTGCACTATTTCTTTCTGTGGGAGACGATGTCGGGAGAGAAAGGAATGCGTCGAGGGGACTACAAACTAAAATTATTTATCATGCAAATTCATGGAGTAAAATATAGTGTTTAATAGAAAATTTAAAAAAATTATAGGGATCCTAATCCATTTGAAATTGGGACATTTTTCTTTTTTATAATTTTATAAACAATATAACAATTTATTTAAATATATTATTTGCAAACAATTTTAGAAAATATTGCAGTTATAATGATTGTTTAGAGAGACGACGTTGTAGACGAAGACTAGAGGTAGAGACTACCTTAGATGGTAGAGGAGTATTTTTCTTTTTCCTTTTTCATGTTTAATAGTGTACGTCCATGCAATATGCATTGTGGACGACGACCTCCAACGAATTATTGTGGGCCCAATTTGAAAGATTTGCACTTGGAAAAGTTCAGGAGAGATTTGGGGTTTGGTTTTGCGATTCAGGGAAGATCGGTAGGAAATCCCCAAATTTTAAGTAATGACTTCCTACTTCTGTGGACTAGGTTTGATTTGATACGACTTAATTAAATCAACAATATTTTGAAAAAAGAAAGCAACGGTGAACATGAATCGAACATCCTTGTAGAGCACGCTAATGATGCATGGTCGTCGACGAGTGACCAATGACCAGCGACCTTTCAATTCTCTTCTCGAACCAGACAAGTATTTCCACAAACTTTTGGAATAGCGCCAATGCCAAGCACTTTTATTTTATCACTCGGTTTTCTCTTTTGTTTGCTCAAGTTCGTACTTCCTTTTCTTCATCCCTAAGTTTTCCACCTTCCTTTGAGTGCCACTGCCAGTACTGTTGATTTCTTCATCCGTCTCTCTCTGTTTTCCTCTGCTGCCGCCAATGGCTACCCCGAAAGAGCACATTGAAGATATAAGGCGAACCAAGTTTTCCATTGGAGGACCTCCCAATCCCTTAACTGAGGATCTCCATCAGGCCGTCACCAACCTCTCTGCCGAGCTTTACACCAAGGATGTTCACTTTCTCATGGAGCTCATTCAGGTACCGCCATTTATTTAAGTTTAACAACTTCTCTTACTCTCATTAATATCCTTCTCCTTCTCCTTCTCCCTCTCCCTCTCCCAGAATGCTGAAGATAACGACTATTCCGCTTCTGTAAAACCCTCGCTCCAGCTCATTCTAACATCCCGCGACGTTACCGCCACTGGAGCTGCTACCACACTACTTATTTTCAACAACGAGACCGGCTTTTCTTCCAAAAACATCGACTCCATTTGCAGCGTTGGCCGCTCCACCAAGAAGAACAACAGGAAACGCGGCTATATTGGGGAGAAAGGTACCTTGCCCTCCCCTCTCTTTTCCTGATCTCTTCCTCTTTCAATTTTCACCCACTTCACCCCATCCTTTATCTCCCCAACTCCGCAGGAATCGGATTCAAAAGTGTGTTCCTCGTTACTTCTCACCCTTACATATTCAGCAACGGATATCAGATACGCTTCAGTGAACATCCCTGCCCACATTCTGGTGTTGGCTACGTTGTTCCCGAGTGGGTTGAACACAACCCCATTCTTTCTAACATCAAGGAAATTTATGGTCCCCATTCTCAACTCCCAACAACCACAATAGTCTTGCCATTGAAGCCCGACAAGATTGTACCCGTCAAGCGCCAACTTTCAACCATTCACCCAGAAGTTCTACTGTTCCTTTCAAAGATTAAGCAGTTTACTGTCAGGGAAGTCAACGAGGATCCCAATTCCAACACTGTTAGTGCAATTGCCATTTCCAGCGAGACGGACTTCGTTACAAGGAAGAACATTCATGCTGAATCCTACACTCTCCATCTCTCTTCCGAGGGAAGTAACTGTGAAATTGATACCCAATGCTCCTACTACATGTGGAAGCAGAAGTTTCCAGTCAAGGAACAAAACAGAGTAGAACGAAGGATGGGAGTGGAGGAATTGGTGATCACGTTGGCATTTCCAAAAGGAGAGCGTCTCAATAGAGGATTAAACTCCCCTGGGGTCTACTCTTTCCTTCCTACCGAGATGATAACCAACTTTCCCTTTATAATTCAGGCAGATTTTGTTTTATCATCATCCAGGGAAACCATTCTGCTTGATAACAAATGGAATCAGGGGATTCTTGATTGTGTTCCCTCCGCTTTTGTCAATGCTTTCATCTCATTGGTCAAAAATACGGTTGAAGCTCCCTTGTCTTCTTTGGCCCATATGTTCAACTTCCTGCCCATCATTTCTTCTTCCTACGAGAAGTTGAATGTTGTTATGAATTTAATCAGAGAAAAGTTGCTTGAAACAAATATTGTTCCTAGTCATTCTTTCCTGAAGCAGAGGTTCTTCCACAAACCTCCTGAAGTGGGTAGAATTATGCCGGCTTTTTGGAATATTTTAATGAAGGCACACAATCAAGGAGTGAGTTTGCTTAATCTAGCGTCCCATGGAAAGTACATCTTAAGTTCTTCATTCGATATAGAGGAATACGATCAGGTTCTTAGTTTCCTTGGTGTGAAACCAGTTGATGATGAATGGTATGCAAAGTGCCTGCAGGGTACTAACATTGTGGAGGGTGTGTCGGATGACGTTTATTTGGAGCTTTTACAATTTCTTGCTGACAATTGGAGTTCGAGATTTCATGTCACAAACATGAAGAATGTACCACTTGTAAGATATGTTGGTGTTGATGGGAATGTTTCCCTATGCAGTTTAAATGAATCTGCTCGGAATGGTGGAAGAAGGGTTCACCTAGCTTGTCATGACCATAATGTATCATGGCTGAATAAATCGAACGGGGAATTCAAATTCGTTGCCAACTGTTTTTTTATGCCTGAAAGCACACATAAATCCATCCGGTTATGTTCTAGGAAAGACACGTTGTTGCGATGGCTTAGAGACCAGGCTAAAGTTGATACCATCAGCGTATATCAATTTGCAGAACTCCTTGTCTATTCTATTGGCGATAACCCAAAGAACATTATTAGGTATGTTCACTTCCTGTATCACTCATCATCAAAAAGGTATCTGACAGATGACGAGGTCAAGTCTCTGTGCAGTGTTATGCCAATAGTAGACAAATACGGTGTTGTTATCAAACACAAGCAGGTGCTTCTCATCCCAGCAGATGGTAGCAAATGGGCACAATTGCTTGATTCAAATCCTTGGAAAAATAATGGCTATGTTGAGTTGGGAGCTGATTACATCTGTCCAGTCCATTTTGCCGGTGAATCTATAACTAGAAAACAACTCATGGATTTTCTCATAACCCATGTTGGTGCTTCTGATATCCCTTTTATATCTCCTCCTAATACAGAAATTTCTGTTGTTTCTTCACCACTGACCGCGCAGAATGGGCTTTTGCTATTGGGTTGGATTCACAACTTGAAAACTAGACGAGTTTCAATTCCTTGCAAGTTTTTGAAATGCATAAAGGAAGGTTGCTGGCTGAGAACTACTCTGAATGGATCTCCTTGTTATAGACCACCATCTCAATCTTTTGACCTCTCCACGTCATGTGCAAGTATTTTGGAAAATGGATCAGTTCTGGTGGACATTCCTTTAATTGATCATAAATTCTACGCTGATGGGTTCAAAGTCTATGCAGAGGAGCTGAAAACTATTGGTGTCATGTTTGAATATGGTGAAGTTTTAGAATTTATTGGGAATCACCTCATGTCAGTGGCGACTTTATCAAGTTTGACAAGAGAAAATGTCTTCTCTATGTTAAAATTCATCAGATTTTTGAAAAATCATTTGCATGTTGAAAGCTTTGTTGCTGGCATAAGAAAAGGAACATGGCTTAAGACATGTCGTGGCTATACCTCTCCAGTTGGATCAGTATTGCACACCGAGGAGTGGAAGACAGCATCACTTGTGAGCAACATCCCTTTTATTGACAAGGATTACTATGGTGATGAGATATTGTCATTCCGGGAGGAGCTTAAGTTGCTTGGTGTGGTGGTCGATTCATCGGATAATTCCCAACTTGTTGTGGACAATTTGAAGCCACCTACTCAATTAACTTGTCTGGGAGCCGAGGCATTTCTATTGATTCTTCACTGTATATTGGAATCAAGATCAGCCGATTATCTTGTCAACACATTCAAAAGTGTGAAATGCCTCAAGACAAATCTAGGCTACAAATCTCCGGCTGAATGTTACTTGTCAGATCCTTCGTGGGGTTGCATTATGCAGGTTTTTACTGGTTTCCCTGTTGTTGATTGTGACTTCTATGGAAGCTGCATTATCTCATCTTACAAGAGGGAATTGAAAAAACTGGGAGTGGTGGTCGATTTAGAAGAAGCAGTAAAAGCATTTTCTCAAGTATTCAGGCAACGAGCGACTAAAAATTCTCTAACAAAGGAAAGTGTGATGTCGTTTCTGTCAAGCTACAAACAGCTTAAAGCAACTACAAAGTTTCCTTCGGAACTTAAGAAGTGCATTCATGAGTTGAAGTGGTTACGGACTCGACTCGGTGATCATAGATCTCCTAAAGATTGCATATTGTATGGTCCAAGTTGGGAATCTATATCTGCAATTGCTCTCCTTCCTTTTATCGATGATAGTGAAAACTACTATGAAAACCATATTCATGAATATAAAAATGAGTTGAAGAATATGGGAGTTGTTACTGACTTTAAAGATGGTGCTCAAATGGTTGCTGATGGGCTTTATCTTCCACAAAATCCCGTCAATATTACTTCTGAAAACGTTCTTTCACTTCTGGACTGCATCCGAACTTTGATGGAGAAGAATTATTCCTTTTCAGATAATTTCTCCAGAAAGGTCTCGCAGAGATGGTTGAAGACCTCTTTTGGTTACCAGTCTCCAAAAGAGTGTTTGCTCTTCATTCCTGAGTGGGGTCCTCATCTGAAGCCGACTGATGGGCCTTTTATGGACGAAGAATTTTACAAGTTTGACATCAAGTCCTATAAGAAGGAGCTCAAAAAATTGGGGGTGATAGTTGATTTGGACCATGGTTGTGAACTAGTGTCAAGTTTCCTTGATTTTCATAGCGAGTTCTCCACTATTGTACGAATGTATACTTATTTGAGTGCATTCAACTGGGAGCCAGAAACTGAAGCTGCTAGAAGGATTTGGGTACCTGATGGAAATAATGGTGGCCAGTGGATCAACCCAGAAGATTGTGTTCTTTTTGACAAGGAAGACCTTTTTGGTCTGCAGTTGACAGTTCTCGAGAGGTACTATAAACAAGATTTACTCATTTTCTTTTCCAAAGCCTTTCAAGTAAGATCCAATCCTTCGATTGTCGACTACTGCAAACTCTGGAAAAGTTGGGAAAGAAATCAGGACCAACTATCTCATGACAAGTGCTTTAAGTTTTGGAAATATGTCACTAAGCACTATAATTCAAAAACGGAGCAAGCTGTCATTGATGCCATTGCCAAAGTGCCTGCAGTTTCTGGTTCAGATGAGTCAGTTTTTTTGTTTGATAAGCGTGACGTGTTTGTTGCCGATGATCTTCGATTGAAGGATGTATTTGAAGAAAACTCTCCTCATCCCATTTTTGTGTGGTATCCTCAGCCGAGCTCACCTTTCTTGCCTCGATCAAGGTTGCTGGAAGTTTATAAGAACATAGGAGTTCGGAATCTATCTGAGTCTGTTGAGATGGTAGAGGCAGACATGGTTGATGGAATCAGTATGAAGCAGGTGAATCCAGATGACATTTGGATTGGAAGAGGGGTGGTGCGACTCATTCTTGGTTTTTTAGCAGACCCTACTAAGAAAATTGAAGCAGAAAAGAGGCATGAAGTTGTTCAATGTCTCCTCAATCTTTCTGTTTTTGAGACTGTAGAACCTGTGATGATAAAATATAGTCTATCCCTGACTTCAGGAAAGGTCATTGAAGCGCCTGCAGGTGGGTTGATGCGTTGGGAACGGGACAGTTCAAAGTTGTTCATCCAGAAAATGGTGATATCAGGTGGACAGAAGGAGATGATAAAGCGTGCTACCTACTTTTCTGAGGTCATATCTGAGGGTGTCCTTTGGCAGTATAGTGATTACATATGTGCATTATCTGAGCTGATAAAGTTGGCCTTTTTGGTGAATTTTGATGATGAGGCTGTTAATTTTATACTGAAATGCAAGAATCTGGAGATCTTCAAGGAGGATGAGGACTTCCTCTCTTCTGCTTTCACTAAGCACCCCGAGTAGGCAAACTTTTAATTTTGCTAGTTCATGAAAAAAAGTGCACAACTAACATCCAATCTACTACTATTTGCATATGTATTTGCATCACAGTTTTTTTTGTTTGTGTTTTGAAAATATAGATCAATGTGGATCTATAATGTTTTAAGTGGTAGAATCATGCAACTTGAATTTGATATTTTGTGATGTAGTGAAAAAAAAAGAAGCTCAGATATGAATATAGTGGTGTAAATCCACGTGTTTCTGATTTTGTTATCAAAGAAGGTTGGGGATTAGAATTAAAAAAAAAATGGCGCCATATTGGACATTAGAACAATGTATTAGAGATGGTTGCCGAGTAAGCAGCGGCTTGAATGAATGTATTGATATTACATTGATAAAGTAATTAATGATTCTACCTATGGTACGTTTGATGAGATGGAGGGAGAGACAGAGGGAATGTTTAGCGAAGTAAAAGGCAGTAATGTCCTAATAAACGAGGAGCAGCAGACCTCTGTTCCCCAAGCCCCTTGAGAATGATTAATAAGCTTGAGCTTGAGCTTTTCTAGCAAGAAGCTGAGTGGATCTGTCGTTGCCAGAACAACGTAAATGGTAGCAAGATTTGACATTCAACAGATTCCTTACACCACCTTGTCTTTTCTTACTACTAATGGCCTTTGTACAACTCCTGGATCCTTCTTTTCCTTTCGTTATGATCACCTTGCTGTCTTGGGCCTGTCAGATCAAGAATGTGAGAAACGTGAGTTATATAAGTTGAGAGGAAGTATAGGTATGGTGGGCAGGCGTACCTGGCCAAAATTTGCACAAGTGGTGGTGGTGGTGGTGGTGTCGATTCTGTCATGGGTTGGGGAGTTGTTGTGCGAGACATCGTCTTTGATTTCAACTGCAAAATATGTGCTTGGTCTCATAATTGCAAAATGGATATTCGTAAAAGTGATTCGTGAGCTCACCGCTTGCTTTGTCATCATCTTCTTCTTCAACGAAATAAACTCTGAAACTGGGGGATCCAGGACAGATGATGGACCGAGCAGTGTCTTCGATGTGATCTTCTCCTGATTTCTTGTTGTGGTCTTCATGGAGGTCCTCTTTGATTGCATTGTTGCTAGAGAGGGGAATGGGAATTGGTGAATAATCTTCATCGTCCTTGTTGTCCTGTTTGTTGATGTGTGCAGGTGCAGGTGCAGGTTTGGTGCTGCCACTAGGTGAAGAATAAGATGAAAAAGATACGCTTTTTTTATCAATAACATGCATAGAGGTAGAGTTGTCTTCGTGATCTTTGAGAAGCACTTTCTTCGAGAGCGTTCCAGTCTCCAGATTGCTTCCGTTCTTACGCCTCCTCAAATCCGAAAATCTAAGGCGCATAAGTGGGCGAATCCGGGCAGGAATCGACTCTCCATCCGGGATAAGCCTCGAGTTTCCGCACCCCATTGTTGTAAGCCTCGAGATTGTTGAATTGGCCGACACAGAAAATTGATTGATTTGTTTCTTGGGGGTGCGTTAAACAAGGCAGAAGCAGAACCAAGGATTTTGAAGACGAACACTGAATTTCACCAGCTGAATTTGACACCACCATAACACGATGCCGCATTGGAACACACTGTCTCCCCTAACAATAGTAAAAAACAGGCTCCCATAACTCCTTCCAGTTACTTTATTTGTTATCTTTTCTTTTTACATCCATTGCTCTTTAATTTCCTTCTGGACATTCAACTTACTTTTCATAAGCCCCAATTTGCCAATAATAAACTCCACGCAACAATCTACCTTTCAGGTGCTATTCTATCTTTACCCTTTTTTTTCTCCCCCAAAAGAAAATACATATATATATTTATATATTTATCCAAAGATGTACATTTATTTATTATTTAAAAGCCACATGCAAATTAAATGAAATTTCCAGATTTTTTTTAATTACTTTACATTTTCGTTTTATGAAATCATACAACATGAATGAACTAATCCTGAGATGAATAATACAGATGATATGACACTGAATATTTCTCTTTTTAACTTATATTAATAATTTGTAAAGATTAATCAATGTAAATAGTAGGGGCAATTTCAGGAATAATGTATTTTTAAAAGAAAATTTTAAAAGTATAATAGTTTTTAAAATAATATTAAATATCATGCAAACTAAACATTTTTTTTAATTAAAGTAGAATATATAGAAAAATATTGATAAAAATAGGTTAGTTTTTTTACAATCGGAGGGGACGTATGTTCGAACTGATCGAAGATAGATGTCTTAACCTTTTGAAATTTGAACTATATTTATGTTGCTTAATAAGTAGAGATTTATATATGGCAAGTGAGAAATATGCATATATATCCCCATTGTATAAGATTTTTTTAAAAAAAATTTACACCAAATTCAGTTCTTTGGTCCGGTGGTGTGTTCGGCTGCCATGGGGAACATGTGACAATTTGGTTAAAATAAAATTCTAATTATTTTATTATTTAAAATAAATTAGTAAACATATTTATGTACATGATTTGACAAAAATTGTTTATATATAAAAAGGAAAAGAAAGATATATGAGGTAGAAGAAATAAAAATGAGGTGGATTAGAGATTAAATGGTGGCAGAAACAAATATTATGTTGGATTATTTGTTTATGTGAGAAGGTAAAAAGATGAGTATATTGATTTGCATGTAATATTGTTGAAAGTTGAAGATTAGAGATTAGAGGAAGAGGAAAGTTTGATAAGAAAATTGAGGGCGAACCATGAGTTGATGATGGGAAAAAGTAAAAGCGAGACATGAATAATTAGAAAAAGAAAAGAAAAGTAATTAGAGAAATGATATTGATGCCATTTGAGTGGGAGTGAGATCAATGGAAATGGCGTTGGGGTGGAATAGATGAATTATTGATGGGGATTGTAAGAAGAGGATGAGGAGGAGGAGGAGGAGGAGGAAACAGTAGTAGAAGTGCAGGGACGGCGCCGCCCATAATGCATATCATCAATCTCTTCCATATCCATGTGATTTGGGTCCATCATCATAAAATCCGACTCATAATTGGTGGTGGTGGTGTTGTTGTTGTTGCTGCAGAAAATGCGGCACACAACCCAATTATTCTCCGTATGATCCATTTGAGTTTGAGTAGGGAGGAAGAGGCTATATTCATGCATTACCCACCGGCTTCGGGTCCTCCTCATCCTCTTTGTTTTACCTTTAGCTTTGCTGGTGCTGAAGAAAACTAGAGTCTTCTTAATCCCCACACTAGTGCTGCTGCTGCTGCTGCTGCTGTAACTATTATTATTCTTATTACTACTCCAATTGGAATTGGACGGCGAAGAAGAAGCTACTATTTTGGTATCCCGACCCGTGGGCTTCCAGTACCCGCTAGGAGTGCTCCGCTTCCCATTTCCATTTCCATTTCGGTTCTTGCTGAACAAGTATCTCATCTCTTCCTCATTCCCATCGCCACCTACACGTACTACAATTAATTACAATTCATAATTACATACCAAATAGGATAATTAAACACATCAAAATCAAATTAATACCCACCTGGAACTGGAATATCCCAAGGATCGAAGTTGCACACATCCAATATCTCTGGAATTATGGAAGCACACAAGTTCAAACTAGACGAGGAGGACAGCAGCTTGCATTTTAGATACTCGAACACCAGCTCTTGTTCCGTCGGCTCAAAACGAAATCCCGGAGGCAATCCCCTAATTCCATCGAATCTCACTAACTTATCCATTCAACAATTAATTTCCCTCTACTTACCTAATTTAATTTCACTACTCTCAATCACCACGCATTGGCATTGCCCTTCCCTTCACTCACCCTATGGCCTATACTTACTATATATATATATATATATATATATATACACACATGCAGATTTAATTCCCTTCGCGCATAAAGAGAAGAGAATCCCACTTTAATTTTCTTTCTTTCTCCCACTCCCACTGCAGCCATCTAACTTTGACTCTAAGAAAACACTTCATTATTAACCCCGATCTCTCATCTCTTACTTGCCTTTTTCAATTTTACTCAACTCACCTCTCTAGCTCACTATGGACATTATGAAGGACGACTGCTCCCAGCACAGTACAATATCACCATTCAATTTACTTTGGTCATATATCATTTATTCTAATTATGGATTGCATGTGAGTGCGAGGGATTGGATGTTCGACTTCTGTGGATTGTGCGAAGATGACACATAAAGCTCCCATTGGGACTTTGTAAATCACCATAAAATCAACTACCTCCCTTCTTTCCATCACCAACTTTATTTTGTTTATCAATTTCTAAAAGTTGGGCTCACAAAGTTACATAACATCGTTCTTTATTTCCTCATCTATTTTATTTTTTTCCACAAAGAAAAGCAGAAAAAGGGGCCAAAATAAACTTCATTCAAAGGTTCCTATAAAAGTCAATTTCCAATGCTACTTTTCTTCCTCGTGAAGATGTTGCCTCTTCCTCTCTGTCTACAATAATGGGCCATTCCGTTTCTTTTACAAACAGCCCAGCTCGCTTTAACTGGGCCCTTCCTCAGCTCGACGGCCCAAATCAAAAGTTTGGTGCGGCCCAGACTCGCCATTTTCTCTTTCATTTTCTGGTCTCCGGGGTGTTAGGGTTTTCTAGTCGGTCACGGCTGAGAGATTCACGACCCTAAAGTTTTGTCATCAACCTTCCTAACTTTCCATGGATTCCTCGTCTCTTAACTCCCCGGAGCTGATGAATTTCATCAATGTGAGTTAACTATCGGTTTTTTCTTTTTAGATTGTCACTTCTACTCTCTCATTCGGGCCCGATCAGGCATCACAAAGATCTGAGTTCTTGGTGTTTCATTATTGCATGTCTTTGCTCAAATCCGAATATAGACGACTTCTATTTTTTTATCGTCTATTATATCCATCCCTTAAAATTAGCTCGTAGAATAGAATATCCGAGGATGGTGAATTTGATATGAGTCATGATTATTTCTGCGGTTTGTAATTTATTAGGGACTGACAGCTCTGTTATTTATCTATGTGCTATTTAGTGCCAAATAGCATAGTAGGACGAAATACTTCTGCAAGAAACTATTTCGTAGAATCAACTGGCGGAGTGCTTGAAACGGAGGTTTATAGGACAAACGTATTTTAATTACATTTTATACTGAAGAATTTGAACTCGAGGTTGTAGAAGCAACTTCTTACTCTGTTCCAAGGTGAACTTTGAAGGTGTAACTTTGGTCTGGAGACTTCAGTGATGCCATTGATGATTGTACTGCTGTATGGAATATTAATATATCCAATTCTGGAAAGAATATGTGAATTTTGAAAAACTTGAGTTTTTGCTGTTTACTTTTTCAAGAAAACAGAAAGAAACATTTTTCTGTATAATGATATCAACTGAGATCAAAAGCCATACAAGTAAAGTAATAGTATAGTATGGAATTCTATGGGTTTCACATCACTGAAAAGATCTTTGTTTTTCTGAATTTAAGGTTACTATTGTGTTTCTTTTGGATGTTAAATTTGATGTGTTGTTAAAACTGTTCAATCATCATAATTAAGTATCATTGAAATTGTGTTTTTTTGATTTAACCAGTCATGGGGGGCAGTTTGTTGACTACTAGATCTGTGTTGCCTGCCCTTAAACTACACAAAGCTTTCTTCACTACTGAATTTAATCCCTTTCCCAAGAGTTAGATATATAGCTGGATGAGATTGAGATAGTAGTGTCAGAAACCTTAATGCTTTTGGTAAACTATTTGGTCATTTTGTTACACAGGAAGAGAAGCAAAGAGCTATGGTTGCTGAGATGGTGGCAAAGCTCACCAGTGTGTGTTGGGACAAGTGTATCACTGGTTCACCAGGGAGTAAGTTCAGCTCCAGCGAATCCAACTGTCTATCAAACTGCGCTCAACGCTATATGGATATGAGCATCATCATTATGAAACGGTTCCAAAACAGTTAGTTGATTCTGCTCAACGGGAGGCTTGATTTTCCAATTACAAGACGATGTATTTTGCTCGAATTTATCTTTCAATCATCTCTTCAAACTGAAAGGAGAAGGTCTAATTTGAAAGTTGATCCATTCCATAAATCAAACTGTTTTACATCTGATCTTGATGATAATGGTATGAAAAAAAAAGTAGTCATGGTGGTGATGTTATTTCTTTCCTCTTTGAATTGGATGGTCCAATATTGGGATTAAGTGAGCACTAATATCATCCATATAGATGTAATTATACATTGTTTGTGGAGGATTGAATTGGAGCCAAGAGTACCAATACCTATTTTTATAGATCGTTGGTTATAATCTACTCTATATGTTATATTGTACTCCATATTTCTTTTTTCAAACTTGCATTCAACTGTGTCCATTTCGTTTCATTTTCTAGAAATGAGAAAAATTGGCGTTTTGACATGACTAACATCATCCTTGAGTTCTTTCGAAGGCGAATAGCTGATTTTGATCCTATCGAAACGACGCAATCTAGAGTATATCTTTTAGTTAACTAGCAGACATTAATCAATATAAAATCTTAACAGCCTATTCATTGTTATTTTTTCTTTTGAGATAGCTGTTTTCAAATCGAAAATGTATAAATTATATAACAAAAAAGAGGAATTATTTTATGTTAAATTACCTTTATACACGAACTAATAATTATTATTTTGAATTTTTTATATTTTTAAGACTAAACTAATGCCAACAAATCAATCATTTGGCCGACACATAAGCAGTGGTCACGGCATTACCAGCTAAGGATCGGAAAATTTCTCTCTTATTACATGAAATCCAGTTTTCATTTCATCAGAGAAAAAGTCTTATTTTTTTTCCCTAGTACGAGAATAGAAAAATTCATTAAATAATGAATGAGATTCTAAACTTGAACTGACAATGAAATCAACCATTCAAAGTTGTTTTATTGTTTATTATTGATAAACCGACGTTTATATTATAAGTGTGGGAAGATAAGTTTGAGAAATAATAAGTTTATTTGACATCTCTTCATCTTCTCTTCTAAAAGTCAGTCAAAATTTTGAAACTCTCTATGAACCAAAGAAACATATCAGCTAACGGTAATGTGAAAAAAGTTCAAATATAGTGCACACATTTTTCTATTTAATTTAACATATTTTTTTACAATTTTTTTAGTACAACTTAATAAGAAAAAAAAAACGAGAATATGTAATTTTTGGAGAGGGTAAAACATAACTTAGAGGACTTTCATCTTCTCGTGACGCGTCTCCGGGGTGTTAGGGTTTTGTAGTCGCTCACGACTGAGAGATTCAAAGTTTTGTCATCAACTGATAAGCACCAAGGTTGCTCGTGTTTACAAAGCTAGAGGTCCTTYTAGGATCCTTGCAAACATTCACAAAATAGACAACTTTTCCCGTGCCATCTTTGCTCCATTCTCTTCTTGACTCATTTAAGTAACATTATGAATAAATTCGGGCTCAAAACTCTTTGTTGGTTCTTGTGCATTAACAAGCTTTTGAAGGTGCAGTGTGAAAGCCTCTTGAATCTTCCTTGCCTTTCTTGTAATAATTGCTCCTTTGATATATGTAATTGGTCACAAATGGATTCGTATCATCAACCTTCCTAACTTTCCATGGATTCCTCGTCTCTTACTTCCCCGGAACTGATGAGTTTCATCAATGTGAGTTGGCTATCCTTTTCTTTCTTTTTAGATTGTCACTTCTACCCTCTGATTCCTTCCGGATGAGAGCTGAGACCACAAAAAGTACCTCAATTCTTGGTGTTTAATTATTTCACGTTTTTGTTACAACTTACAATCCGAATATAGAGGACTTGTATTTTTCTTTTTCTTTTTTGGTTGCTTTTTCGACTTTATCGTCTATTATATCCATCCCCTAATTAGCTCGTAGAATATCCGAGGATGGTGAATTTGACGAGTCATATTTATTTCTTCGGTTTCTAATTTATTAGGGATTGACAGCTCTGTTATTTATTTACATGCTATTTTGTGCCAAATAGGATACGATGAAATACTTTTGCAAGTAACTATTTTGTAGAATCAATGAGCAGAGTGCTTGAAACAGAGGTTTATATGGGCCCATTTCAAAAGACAGGTCTTAAGCTATGCATCCTGATTATAGGAGAAACGTATTTTAATTACATTCCATATTGAAGAATTTGAACTCGAGATTGTAGAAGCAACTTCTTACTCTGTTCCAAGGTGAACTTTGAAGGTGTGAATTTGGTCTTAAGACTTCAGTGATGCCATTGATAATTGTACTGCTGTATGAAATATTAATATATCCAAATCTGGAAAGAATATGTGAATGTCGAAACTCTTGCTGTTTACTTTTTCAAGAAACACAGAAAGAAACATTTTTCTGTATAATGATATCCACTGAGATCAAAAGCCATACAAGTAATAGTAGAGTATGGAATTCTATGGGTTTCACATCACTGAAAAGATCTTTGTTTTTCTGAATTTGGATGTTAAATTTGATGTGTTGTTAAAACTGTTCAATCATCATAATTAAGTATCATTGAAATTATGTTTTATTAATTTAACCAATCATAGGGGGCAGTTAGTTGACTACTAGATCTGTGTTGCCTGTCCTTAAACTACACAACTTCCAGCTTTCTTCACTACTGAATTTAATCCCTTTCCCAAGAGTTAGATATATAGCGGGATGAGATTGAGATAGTAGTGTCGGAAACCTTAATGCTTTTGGTAAACTATTTGGTCATTTTGTTACACAGGAAGAGAAGAAAAGAGCTATGGTTGCTGAGATGGTGGCAAAGCTTACCAGTGTGTGCTGGGACAAAGTGTATCACTGGTTCGCCAGGGAGTAAGTTCAGCTCCAGGGAATCCAACTGTCTATCAAACTGCGCCCAACGCTATATGGATATGAGCATCATCATTATGAAACGGTTCCAAAACAGTTAGTTGATGCAGCTCAACGGGAGGCTTGATTTTCCAATTACAAGACAATGTATTTTGCTCGAATTCTCAAGGGGAGGGGCTCAACTCAACTCATTGTGGAGCGCCGCCTGTGAGTCTGAATTCTATTTTACGGTGGGACCTTTTTCAGGGCCTTAGTTGATGACGCGTCACAGTGCACAATGCGAATAATTTTTACTATCAAGATTTAAATGCTCATCCTCTTTAACTTTTAACCGTCTTTATCCTCTAAAGGGTTATAGTTGAAGACCAATAAAAGGAGCTTTGGATATGGGTGGAGCATGTTTTATTCATGCTCGTTTTGACATTGGGTAGTTATTTGTGTAATTATAACCATTTAGTTTATGTAGTTCTACTTTTTAAAAAAACAAAAGATGTAAACTTTATACAATTTTCTTGGCCTCGAAGGTTATCCTCATTGGCGTTCCCACTTTTTTTCCAGTTTACCCGATTCCCACTATATCAGCTTCCAATTGATCTGATAATGACAGATTGAAATTTGATTAGTAGAAGAACACCAACCCACGACGAGGTTTTAATAATGAAAAGGGAAAAGGTCAGGAAAGAGGAGAGATGAATATCAAGTAATAAAGAGGGATTAGCATTTAGATGTGCAGAGCTTAAAGGAATTGCGTATGGGGTTGTTCACCAGAGCATATCTCCCATTTTGAGTCTCTTCTGTCAAACATTCCAAATGTCAATTCTCTTATCTAATCAAACACGGAAACCGAATATATCCATTTCTGAGTTCGTAAACTAAGAAATTAATGATAACAATCTGTTATTAGTACAAAGTATAAGTAGGAATTCACGTATACTATCTATTATGGTTTATTTCTATTGGGTAAACGATATTAGTGGAATCCACACTTTTTAAATATAAATAAACCAAACTAGAATGAAACGTACCATCAGAAAATAAGGGGCGAGTCAAGTTGTGTTCTTGTGCAAATATGTTGGGGGTTATTCGTCATTGTATCGACCTTCAACATAATAATAACAATAATAGTCTTGATAGCTGAAAGAGAGAGAGAGAGAGAGAGAGAGAGAGAAAAAAACACAATAATATTAATAGGTACCCGTCTTTGGACCACTGGGAAAAAAACACAGAGATTAAAGTTGCATACGAAATCACCCGATGAATATCTTGTTCCGCTTCCGATATAGTTTATTGCATTTAGTGAGTAGTGGTGATTATTATATTCCAGTAAATTAAGGTAGCTAATGTTTATAAATTGGAATCCCGAAACAGAAGAAATACAAAATCTTATCTTTTCAGGTGTAATCGTTTGTGAACTATACACCTGCCATATCCAACGAATCAAGAAGACTAAGACTAATCAACTTATAATTATCTCTTGCTTTCTTCCTTTAAATTTAAACTTATAAAATATATTGTAATCTTATTAATTAGTATTGTTATAATGTTTGTGCGGTCGGATTCATATAGTTTTCATCAGTTTAAAAGGTGACAGCTGCCCCGAGAGGAGATTTTGAATTCCCCGTTCACGCGTGAGTTCCAAAAGCTACAACCACAAAGATAGAGCGCAATAACTGTATAAATTCACTACCAGCAAAACATAAATATAACATATTAAATATTAAATAATTGACTTGATTTGATATATACATTCTGCATCTGCATGCACGCCCCCATGTATGATCTATGTAAGTGTCAAATTGGGCCGCCTGGTGGGCCTTTGTGGTGAGGGGTTTGGGCAGCTGCCAAATGGGTGGAGAGAAGCAAAAGGAGTAATAAAGAGTGAAACAAACTTAATTAATTGCGATGGAGTTACATATAAAAAGTGAAGTGGGTTTTGGGTAGGAAGGCTTTAGCGCAAGGATATCTTAAAAATGTAGTTTCCATTTCCACTTTAAAAATTAAAGTTAATAAACCGGCCACATAACAAACAAATATGACATGGGAAGAATATTTAGTAGCACTATAAATATGAGTCCTCGTTACGTTGAGGTGCAGCAAGGCTTGAGATTGAATAGAGAGATACATAATTTCTCCATTCACATATCTTAGCTTGCTCCTTCAAAATCCCATTTGGGTTTTCGAGTGGCTAACAAGTAGAATGGCTCTTAATTTTGTGAATCACAATCCCTGGATTTTTGCGTTTGGTCTCCTAGGTACGTGTATATAATAATGTTGATGTATGTGGATGATCCAGTAACATGCAGTTATATGTAATATATATATTATTACATGAAATCAGTGATGAGATGTTGATGTTGATGTTGATGATGTTGTTGTTGTTCGTTTTTGTAGGCAACATTTTCTCGTTCATCGTTTTTCTGGCCCCAGTGTAAGTAGTAATCGATTAAGTGGGTTGAATTGTGATTATATTAATTAGAGATGTTGATGATGTGGGTGTGGTGTGGTGCAGGCCTACATTTATAAGGGTGTGCAGAAAGAAATCAACGGAAGGATTCCAATCAATTCCGTACGTGGTTGCGCTGTTCAGTGCAATGCTACTGATATACTACTCCACGCTGAACGCGGACGAGTTCTTCCTGATGACCATCAACTCATTCGGGTGTTTCATTGAGACTCTTTACATCGCTTTGTACATTGCGTACGCTCCCAAGAAGGCTCGGATTTTCACGGTGCGCTTTGTTCTTCTGTTGGACGTTGTCGGATTCTGCTCCATTCTTTTGGTCACCCAATTTTTGGTGAAGCCACACTACCGAGCCAGAGTGATTGGGTTCGTCTGTGGAGGCCTGTCCGTCAGTGTTTTTGCTGCGCCTCTCAGCATAATGGTGTGTGCCTCTGCCTCTCCCGCTATCTCTACATCTCAATCAGAAAGATTACTTAATTTGCTTATTAACGCTCTGCTCTGCTCTGCTCTTCTCTTCTCTGTTATTTTTGCAGAGGACGGTTATTCGCACCAAGAGCGTGGAGTTCATGCCCTTTTCTCTCTCCTTCTTTCTCACACTCAGTGCCGTTATGTGGCTCTTATATGGCTTGCTCCTCAAGGATTTCTTCGTCGCGGTAATATATATATATATATATATATATATATATATATATATATAATTGTGATTAATTAATTCAATCAATTAAAGTTCATATTTCCAAATATATAATATAATTGACAATAACCTGCAGCTTCCAAACACGTTGGGGTTCACCTTCGGAATGGCCCAGATGATACTGTACGGCATCTACAGAAACGCGAAGCCTGCAGGTATTCCAGAAGAGCTAAAGCTTCCAGAACACAAAGGCGACATTACTGCTACAACGGCGGGCGACGCTGCTACTGAGCTCCAAATGCAGGCCGCTCCTCCACCTCAAAATGAATCGGACGGTGGGCGTGGGGAAGGGGACGCAGTTGCAGTTGCAGTCGATCCCAATGAGAAATACTGCATGGACATCCCCCGCGGCCCACCCATCCTCAATTGTCAGGCTTGAATACCTCCAATCCCCTCCTCTCCACCGCTATCTCTTCTCTTTAATCTCTAATGTTTAATGTTTATGTAATATAAATTATATAACTAAAACTAGTCATTTTAATTTTACAACTCTATCTCTACGTCGTAACCTTCGGAGAGGCTCCATGTCCCATATCAAATTCATGTACCATATATATAATAACATCTCTACCCTTTGCTCATCTCTCTGTATGTAATATTATTTTTCTTCCATATTTAACAATTAGGAGAGAAATACAAAAACAACATATCATTCTTTAAAAGATAATGACAGGTCAATTTTCAATAGTAGTCAAAATATGACAAATAAAAACTAACTAGTCTCATTTCCCTCTCTATCAAAAATTTAATGAACTTTTTGAAATTGTGGAGTTATTTTCGAAAAAAAATAAAAAGAATAGATAGGTTTGAAAATATTTAGAGAAACAAATAGACCCAAGGCCTTAAACAACTATATAATTTCAAAAAGTCAAACATTTTAATATAATTCATATTGCCTGCCTAAATTTCTATATATAACAGAATAATACTGCCCTTGTCCAAACATCTTCATTAAGCTTAAAGATGCCCATGYTCTGGCCTTGGTAGGGAGTAAATGTTACATAATATTAATTATTTGATTATCATCATATGTTGATGATCGATCGTTTAATTAAAGTTTCCACTAATCTCGTACGGGATGCGATTTAATATTTGTATATAATCAAAAGTGGGATATATCATATATGAAATCTCTTTGGCGAATTAAAATTTTCCTTACCCAAAACTAAAGTCCAATCAATAATAAATTCACTTTTCATAAAAAA